TGGTGCAGAGTTTGTTTCCCAGTTGATATCAGGGTAGTTAAAATTCCCCATTACTATTGTGATGTGCTTCGTACATACCTTAGTTAGCTGACTAGCAAAAAATTCATCTACTTCCTCTGCTTAGTTGGGTGGTCTGTAATATAGACCTATGGCAATGTCATCCCCCCCAAACCTTTAATATTGACCCAAATACATTCAAGATAGTTCTCATCATTGTTGTGCTTTAGTTCTGTAGAGATGTAGTTATTTCTTATATATAGTGCAACTCCATCTCCTCTTTTATTTGGTGTATTTCTTTTAAATAAATCTCACACCAATTCATTCTTTTGCATGAATTTCTCCAAATTCATAAGAAAATGTCAGGGTGCTTGCATAGTTCCCTAGGCCCTTTCCTCTCCCATCCCCAAAAATTATCAACATCTGATTAATTTTAGCACGATTATTTTGCCTTTTCTTTCAGATTATGCCTTGGTTTTTTTTAATGCATGTTAACTACTGTGATTCATTTGAATTAGCCACCTCAGATAAAGCACACAAACATAAATTAATTGCACCAATTTGTGGATTGCCCCAAACCGCCTTATTATTTATGTTATCCTAGCAATAGAAAAGCAAAAGTTTTGTCTTTTCTCAAGATTCAGAACCAGAAAATCAATACTTGGTTTTCATTCTGGTGCCATATAGTTAAAGATGTAAACACTGTACAAATTGCTCTTCAGACAACTTTCAAAGCAATACACACTCAACAAATGAAAATGTTTCCATTTCCACTGCTGTATTGCTTTCTGTGTAGGAATTAGATTTTCTGTGAACAAATGGTAAACATGCTTAAAATTGTGCATTGAAATCATTCAGGATTCAAAATACCTATTTAGTAATATTTTGTTTTTATTTTAGTTTATCATGATATTGCAGCCACTTTTAAGAAAACGACAATTCGGATGAAGAAGCAAAACAAAGGTGAGTAAAAAAAATACATTTGCATATAAAATTGTGAATTTCTATTATAGGGAAAATGTATAGTATTTTTTATTCAGTCAGCTAATATTCATCCAGTTTGGACTCTACAATGACCTTCTCAATTAAGTGGCTTTAATTTTCTTTTAAACTCCTCAATAGCAGCCCGGATTTAGTCTGTTATAGTCACAAAGTAACGTAGAACACAATATTTACTTGCGGAAGAATCAATGATAAAAGTATTGTCCAGTAGTCATATAGTTATCTCAGTGGAGTGTTCTCATTTAATAAATTGCACATCTGCTGTTGTCATGAGAAATAAACAGTTGTTCTCCAATCACTGAGTGACAATTGGTCCTGCAGTTGAAATAACCACAAAGAGCTGTATTCCTAGCTTTTTCATAAAATACATTTGGTCAGACTTGGAATTTTAAAAGCTTTATAAGCCTTACCTCATGAAACAAGTTTCTGTTGGAAAATATAAGACGACTATTATTCTCAATGAAAGTGACAGTAGAATATCTACTTCAAAAATAAGTATAAATCTATGAAGAGACGTATTCTACATTCCATTTTACAACCGACATACCGCTCGGCTTCCTGTATTAGCAATATTCCATTGATTGCATTTTAGCAGACTTCTCATATAGACATTTTTAAAATAAATAACCACACTAAACAAATACATCCGTTGTTACCCATTTTGTTTGATCTTATAGTAATATTAATTGCAATAATATCAAACAAAATATTAGGAGGAGTATGAATAGTAAGATCTTAAAAATAAAAATACAACATTTACTTTTTTACGGATGATATGTGTCTGTCAAAAACTAAATTAAATAAATTTCATGAAGTAGCTAATGTAAAGGTAAACATGCTAATTAATACAGATTAATAAACAGAAAATGTTTATTTAAAAGACAAACAAGGAACAAACAAGGCATGTGAATAATATCTGAAGGAGATTAAATTAGGTTTTGCTGTTTCAAGTGAATTGCAACTGGACATTTCTTGTATTAGGAAGAAATTCATCACCTTTTGAAGCACTTAGCAAACCTGCTTCTAAGAATACATTATTGTAGATAGTCTAAAATAATATAGTCCTCAGATAAGTTGAAAAAATGTAATAATAGCTGCTGTTTATAATATTGCCATTTTTATTTGAATCATACTAAATTGTTCTTCACAGGGTATGGGCTTCGTTGTCACCGTGCTATCATCACAATCTGCAAACTGATTGGGGTTAAAGACATGTATGCCAGGGTTTATGGATCGAACAATATACTGAATCTCACCACATGTCTCTTTAAGGGATTAGCTAATCAGGTAAAAAATAAGTGAGAGACTAATACATGCTTCTCAGTATGTTAAAAATATTAACTTGGACCTATATTGTAATGATATTTTATGAACTGTGCTTTGCCGTAGTGCAGTGGGAAGGTACAAGGATGGAATGTTCAAATTAATTTAAAGTGAATACTGGAAAATAGTTTCTTGATCTCCTAAACATGGTTTGTGGAGTATGATAATTTTCTACAGTTTTGATTAAAAATAAGGTTTTTTTTTACAATCCAAAGATGGATTGTATTTGTTCTTAAAAACACTGCCATGGCTGACACTTGAAGCAGGTGCAGAACAAGGGCAACATTGATGCAATATAAAGGTGAATGAAATTAAATCAATTAGGGGTTTTGCCCAGGTATGACAATAAAAAACTTGTTTTCCTTATTGTAGCCTAGTGTTAACAGCTTGAGTGACAGTCTCTCTTGGATTTTGGGCAAGTAAGAGATTTTCCCTCAACATCTGCTGTCTGATCCATTATTATTGAAATATGCCACTTGCGTCCTCCTATATGGAATATATTGATTTTTACCATTCTTCTCTCTTTTTGGCTAAATTTTGTTTTGTGAGGGGAGTGCTTTCATTTCATTCATTGAAGGATTTTCAAACAAACAAATTTCAGCTTTATAATATTGCTGTATTTTATTCAGCTTCATTTGTGATTTTTAGAACTTGCTTTCTGACTGGGTTGCTTGCTTGCTTTCATTATTATCATATGTCTGTGAAATCATCTCAGTTCATCTGACTTCCAGTCATTTTTTAGGCCAAGAAAATCTGTAAAGGTGGAAATCAACCAGCGGATCTCATTTGTTAGTAAGAATGCCAGTACATTATTATGGGAAATAGGCAAAATAGTTTTGAAGAACTAGGAAGTATGAAGAAGAACTAGGAATTAGTTTGAAGAACTAGGAAGTGACAAATATTGCTGGATTGAAAATTCAATACAAACAAACTGTTCACATGTATATTATTCTTTCAATGTCTTGACTTTTCAAATCTTGAACTTTCTCTCCTCATTTCAGGCTTTCAGCCTTTCCTTACCAAAGGCTATTGTGTCCATCTTTCCTGATATACTAAAATATTGAAATTAAAGCTGAAGCTAAGGGATACTATGTTTCATACTAAAAACAGTAAAGTTTTTAAAGAGTTAAAACTAGCAGCTAAGGATAGCTTTTACCTTCTATGAAATTATTGGTTTACTAAATTTTGAAAACGGATGAATTGGCGTTTCTGGAGATTAGAATACTCTCTTTGAATTATCCCCACAGGAAACTCATCAAAAGCTAGCAAACAAGAAGAAGCTCTATGTGGTAGAATTCCGTGAAGAATGTGGCCCACTGCCCATTGTTGTTGCAAAGCCTAATAATGGACCAGTCAGAGAAGATCCTGAATCAGAAGAAGTAGCTCTTGATGTCAAACTGGAATGGAAAGAAGTGAAGGCAGCACAGGGAATGAAGAGTAGATGGGCTGATGTCAAAAGAGCGGTTTGGTAGATTTGGGCAGTATGTAGATATAAATATTAAAGAAGAGCCAGCATAATTGTATAATAAGGCAATATTTGTTTCCACATGAAGTGAAAAATAATATTATTGCTTGCCTTGATTATTGCAGTCCTTTATAATGTAGTTCAGTTGGTGTCTATTTGAAATGCAATGATTTTGTGGTGTGCAGGCCGTAAAGGAAAAAGAATTTACAAAATCTCTTGACAGGAAAATGAATCTTTCCTCAAATAACTGAAGAAGATAACAGTATGGAAAAATAAAGTTATAATTGAATTTCATTTTGCTTCACTTATCTCTATATGTTCAAGTAGGAAACTTGGACTTTTAATGAATGTGGTAATTTGGTGCATTTGGTTTTTATTACTACTTGGACAATACTGAACCAAAAGGAACAATTGGAAGAAGTCCCAGTAATGTTAACAAGTTTTGGATAACTCCTTGCCACATTCGTCATTATGACAGAGGAGGCAAATTGGTTGCAGAAAGCTGCAGGTCCAATTTCAGGGCTGAGAGAAATAAGATTGAAACACTAAAGAGCAGTTTTAAACAATGTAGGAAGTTCTGAGATAACAGAAGAAATCGTTTGTCATAGTATAAGAATTCAGCAATATCAACAATCTTAAAACTTATATCCACCACTTTCAAACATGTGTAAAAACATTGCATCCTTTTTTGGTGATGGAACAAAAAGTTTTCTAGGTTGATAGTAGGATAGAACTTATTGAAGTCTTGATTGAAAAGGCATTCTTTTCTGAGAAATCAGATAATGAAAATGCCATCACTGAATATCAAATAAAGGAGGGATTTAAGAGGATAAAAGGTAAGAAAGCTGCTAGGTCAATATGTTGATGATGACGTATTGTGGAGCTAGCATAGCTGTGACCTGATTTCCTCATAAATGTTGTTGTCAAAGTAGTTATGAATTCAGTGCAAAATCAAAAGAACTGGTGGCAAGGTATGCTTTATGGACAGCTCTGATTATATTTCTAATGCTTAAAAGGAAGGTTGCTCTACAGTAGTAGCTCAACATCCATAGTAGCTAAAATGGTATGATCAGATAAGATTGCCAATAAATTCCAGTTTATACATAGTATTTTCTATGTAGCTGACAGGACTTCTGGCATAAAGTGACTTTGTATATGTATAAATGTGATTAAATTTGTAATAAGTTAATGTTATATCCTGAATAAATGTCAAACATTTGTTTAGCTTTTTAGTACAATCTAGTTAGCTCCTTTTGCATAGCCATCTGGGTGATGACGCATTTTTAAAAACTGCATTGAGAAGGTATTTTCTGGTTAAGAAAAAAATATTGATGTACTGAGCAGATAAATGACTAATAATTTACAATTAGTTAACATCAAACTCATTTGCATAATTTAATTATATATATATCAAAGGAAAGTCTAAGCAGTTGTTGCATCTGAAGGTGCAAGCTGGCATGTACTTCCACTTTTAATAACATAACAGTTTGGGAATTCTCTTTAGCCCAATAAAAAGTCTTGTTTTCTTCTTAGAGGACACAGTATACAGTATATGCTTGTAATGGTTTATCTGGCTTTAAAATCAACCCTTTCCTCCTTCCCCGTTCCCCATTTATTTTAGTGAAAACCAGGGTGGATAAAAATTGTTTTGTTTTTTTAAAAAATATATCAAAAAATAAGATTTTTTAAATTAAAATTGGATTTTTTTTATTTTTATCAAATTTATTTTAATAAAATGCTTTTGGAGTAAAAATCTATCTGAAAATAGTTTTCTATTTAAGATACATTAATAATTTAGTTTATTCAGAATGAAATGGAGCTTAGTTATGTAGCATGAGGCTGTATATTCTGCAATATTGGGACTGTCGATAGGTCAATAGCGGCTCAGGGGAGGAGCCGCTGCAGGACAGAGATGACAGTTGCTCTTTAAAAATTAGCCTTTTTACTAGTAATTTAAATCATGATTTAAATTGACTTGATTTAAATCAAATCCACCCTGGCGGAAACAAAGCTGATTTAAATATTTCATTGCAACAGTGAATGCTTTAGGACAGGGGTGTCAAACCTGTGACCCATGGGGCAGATGCGTCACATGCTAGCCCCACCCTGCCTGGTTTAGGGAAGGAAAAGTCCCGATACATCACGTGATGCTGCCATGACAATACGAGTTTGACACGCTTTAGGATATCACTTGGAAAATACAGAGCTTTGTACAGATTTGGAAATAAATTCATAAAGAGCAAATTTCTCTTTAATATGACACAAGAAGAATTTGTTCATACATGAATGAACAGTAATCATATTTAATTAAAATTCACTCTATGTTTGTGTGTGTGTGTCTGTAAAATTGCCCTTAATGCAATTCAGCTACATTTAACTTACATCAGAGAACATTCAGGAATACCATTTCTCCACCTGTCAACTAGCCCAATTCAATCCTCCAGTGAAAGCAAGTGTGGCCGTGATAATTATATTTCAAATTTGTATGCCTGGCATTTTTGGTTGCAGAAGATATTTACATTTAAATATTTATTTTACTGTAAGCTGTCAAGAGGACTTTGATTGTAAGTTGTCATATAAACATAATAAAATAAGTAAACTTTTTAAAATACAACTGATACACATTTCAAGTTACCATAACTGTTTTTGTTACATAATTTTATTGCAAATGCTTTCATTCTCTTTAGCAGTAGGGGAGGGCACTTCCCATTGTGCTCACAGAACACAGGGCAGAAGAATTTAAACTCTTTCTTCCTGGTGGATCCTGAGAAAAAGTGCCCTTTCCAGGAGCTGCTATGAATTGAGGCATGATGAGCCCACTCCACATTTAGATGGCATGAAAAAGCTAATTTTGGAAATTATAAAAGAACAGGAAATTGTGTTGGTTCACAGATAAAGAGGCATAGCTTTCTGTCTCAATTATGAAACAATTTGGCTAAACCTGAGGTCTCTCTTATCTTAATTGCAAGAAGGGGATTTAAATGCCTTTATGGATGCATGTCTTATCCAAGTTCCAGAATAGAAATGTAAAGACACATATTACTACAAATCTAGAAAACCAAAGAGTCATCAATCAATCTAAGAAGGCATCTAATTGCACCTAATTCATATTAGTGGTTATGTGGATATTCTTGGAATGCTGCTACCATTAACTTCAGCCAACATGGGCCAAGGTCTCTACTGCAGACCAGAACCAAATAGATTCTAAATATCTGTAAGTCTCTACCATCTCAGCTGTAGCCCAACTATGTCCAGAAGGTGTCAGCCTACCCTTTCTCAAAATTGCGGACAAGAAAATCAAGCACACTGAAGCTCTCTTTATTTTTTCTTTCCCAAACTGAAATGTTAGAATTGGTTATCCTTAAATTATGTTCATAAATGCTACTTTTGTAAGTACAGTTACAGGTTAATGGGAATATGTGTGCACTACAAAGTTCGATTGGCTTAAGTATTCTTTTCCAAGAAAAATCTGGAGAGGACCTTTGTTTTTTGCTTTAAAAAACAAACTAGATATAAGTGAATTGTCCTCTATCAGTGATTCCATAATTACCTCTCAAATTCTTTGATTGAAAACCTTTAATTTGAACAACAGATTGCCAATCTCTAAACTTTTGTTTACTCAGAAACTCCTCATCTGACTAACATCCAAAGCAAGTAAGAATATCATAATGAGATCAAGATATTAACTCAAATGCATTTCCCAGCTTGTATGCATAATATTTTCCCAAAAGTTTGCATTTTCCTGCATACGTAATATTGTTTCCCAGAATTACAAACCTGCCTTTTTTAATAGTACAAGTTTCTCAGCAATTACTTTGCCCATTTATTAATTGATTTTGACAGTAGTTGAATTGTCAACAGCATTATAGATCTATGTAGTGCTATTCTAATTGGATCTGTTTTCTGCTGCTTTTCTTCATAGCAAAAGTTTGACAGTTCCAGTGCCCAACCCTGGAAGGTTTCGATGCAGGGAAATGTATGTTGCAACATACAGTAGTGCTTATTCTCAAGCAACGCCAAACCCTTAGTACAAAATATGTGACAGTTGCCCCAGTTTTTACTTCTCTGCCTGAGGAGCAGCATTCCTATGCTATTGTCATCAAACCCTTGCTATACCATATCAAGGAGGAAAGTCATGCAGGAAGGGTAAAGCAAGAGAGTGTCTGATTCAATCTATCAAAATTTGTTGACATGAAACAAAAAGGTGAGGCAGGTAGAAAGCTAGTCATAGAAGCCCAGTCCCCAAATCCAAATTATCAATGTTCCACAGGTCTGTTGTATACCATATAATGAGAAACACAGGATATTTGATGAAACTCGAGTAATGCACTCTATCACAGTGGTTCTCAACCTTCCCAATGCCGCAACCCTTTAATACAGTTCCTCATGTTGTGGTGACCCCCAATCATAAAATTATTTTCGTTGCTACTTCATAACTGTTATGCTATATGTTTGCTACTGTTATGAACTGTAATGTAAATATCTGATATGCAGGATATATTTTCGTTATTACAAATTGAACATAATTAAGAGCATAGTGATTAATCTGTGAATCTTGGTTTGGGAGAAGATTAGCCAGGCTGGGATTTTCCAGGATAAAACAACCTCCCTGCCTGCTTCCAGCAGCAGTTCGTGGTTTACATTACAGTTTCACTTTATTAAGTTTACTTTTTTTACATTCCGTTCCCCCCACCCATCCACCCAATTTCTTTCTTTCTTTCTTTCTTTCTTTCTTTCTTTCTT